CGGTAGTTGAGACAGCTATCATGTTTCGGCATGCCTTCTACCATGCGCGAATCCGACGAACAACGTCCACATCTCACTCCCCCAGCCAGGTGTTCGTTTTCTCTCGGATTGGCGATCAGGCCACAAGTAAGTACCTCCTTGTGGTGTTAATTAAACACCAATTGGCAAGCCAATTAAACCCCGGATTCTTGTAACAAGACGTATACAGAAAAAAATTGCGGCAAAAACGGCGTCAGTTTGTCAATAAATCAATTAAAAAAACCCGCTTTGCGACGCCACTGGAGAGCCAACATTTTATCGATTGCGCAGGGGACGAAGTCAACTAAGACACGTTAGCTACACTTTTTATCGATTTTTGTGCCAGTGTTGACGGCGTGTGCATGCAGTGGTGTCACGTGACGCTGAGTATCACTCACTGAGGTGCGCGTGACTTTGACTAACCTCAAAGTGAGTTTTTGTAAACACGCACTCGCGCATTTTCGAGTTAACGTACGGCACTCTCGCTTTCTCTCTCGCACGTGTCAATCGATCACGTGTCAACCGTATCGATCGGTCGCTCCACTTAGTAGGCAGAAGGGTTGCGGAGGCGAAAAATCGATACGCTGACGGACTGCGTGATCTCGTGCCATAGTCATTGCATTTTAATTGGCTAAAATGTGTCATTCATGTGCGGCTCTGAGGCCCACAATTCCCATGTCAACGGGGAATATTCGAAACTATGGCCTGCCATAGGCCCCCTGCCTTCAAATTACGCAAAAGTTTGGACGCTGGATCAGGATGTGGATCGCAGTGTGGTTGCGTCAGTACTAGAAGTGACAGTTGGAAGTGTTCACATGAAAGTAGACCGGTTGGAAGTGCAGGTTAATTTCTTTGAAGCTTTAGCTCTGATACTAGATAAGCCTACTTTATTTTTGTTAGTAGGCACTTTTTCTAACCAACGTAAAAAAGGTAGAATTTTCAAGTTTCAGATGAACGCTAGCTTTAGTGCCGCTAAAATTCAGACTGACGTCTCTACCAACTTTTCAGTTGAATATTAAGGGAGTGAATCAGCTGGATACCGTCTGATCGAGACGTCCCGATGGTGTCAGGAGGGTGTGTTGTAGGGGCTGACAATCGCCATCGATACTCCATCGGCTAATCCACCAATCAGTGCACAGACGGAATGAGGCATAATTTACCTTCGTAACTGCACCCCTAGACCATACCTGTTCAGTAGCTTTGAGTTTTATCGAGTGTCACCACCCCTATCTACTTTCCCATAGGTCGATCACTCCCTTCGTGATTGGCCGCCTTGAACTACCCTCTTATTTCCAGAGCCAATAGGAAATTTGTTCAGCTTCCATTCGTTGTATTCGTTTATACATCTCTTCGGCACCAAGCAGGGACCAATCGAGGTACGATCCCGCTAAGTACTGACCTCAATGAGAAGGCAATAAGCGTTAATTCTGCCAGTTACCCTGCCTCACCCCCTTTGAACCTCTATTGACTCAAATCTAACCTACCACCAAAAGTCTACTTAAATACTTAAAGTAACAATGCTTGATTTGCTGGGTTAATCAAGAAGAGCTGAATCAGCCTAGCCTTTTCCCCAATCCGCCTACCAGCATTTTTATTGTCAAGGTTACAGAAGGAAACAGAATTTGGGAGTCGATTGGATTAACGACTTCAGTGGACTCACTGATCCCTCCCCATCGGCCAGTTCAAGGTCAGGAAAAGCATTCTATAAAATCCTTCGATTTAAAAAAAATTTTGTTCAAACGCAGACACTGATCGTGAATAACACGGTGTATGAGACGTTTTGTCAAGTCCACTGCACTAAATACGAATATCACATAAAGAGAGGCAGTTAGACAAGGAGGAATGAAGTCATTGGTGGGGAGAGGTTTCTTGTGATTGGCTAGTAAGCGTACGCCTCTCCCAGGCGTGCATTAATTGGTTAGAAACCGCTTTCTCATTTGTTTTGCCTTGTGAACGGTCACATTAAACTGTCGATCAACCGGTGAGCCAATGTTGCCAAGTAGATGCTGACGATAAAGAAAGACAACAGTAATTTAGTGGATAGATTTACGAAAATCAGAACAAACATTGAAAATGTGGGGTTCGACACCAACAAGGAACTTGTGGTGACCTGGACTAAAGTAATTTGACATTTCCCAAATGGAATTCAGGCCGAAAAGTTCACGATTGGGCCACATGCGAGAAACAGCATCGAAGTGTTCTCGGAGTGGACGACAATTTATAGACGCACCGACTAATCACGGTTTCCTAGAAATAGGATGGTGAAGAATGCTAGAAAATTTCAAACCAGAGCGGCCAGTTATTAAGACCACAGCATCGATTACCGACCAATTTGGTTTTTATTATTTGAAGACTACGAGTCGCTTCAAAATCCCACCACCACCACCTCCACCACTACCACCTCCTTCTCCTCTTCCTCCTCCTCCACCACCACCTCCATCATCACCGCCACCAGACAATTCTCCATCGTACACACCAGCAGTACGCAAGCCGACGTCTGTTCCGGCTGTTCGATTCTTTTCATGATATCCGCCGTGTGTCACAGACTCTCCAAACAGCGACGTCTTCCACAGCCAGTTCCCTAGATGACATCGTCTGCCGCCACCGCATCCTTCGACAAAGGCATTTGATGTCGTCAAATGAAGGAACCACGGATTCAGTGAAGGCGATGATGTCGATGCTGATCTCGAGTGAACTAGGGTTCTTACCAGACTGTCAAATTGTCGTGACATGCGACAACTCACACAGGGGTCAAAGGATAGGGGTAAAAGCACACGTGGTGCCAACACGTCCCCACATTGTTGCTGGAGTCCGAACAAGGAGCAATGAACACAGGGCTGAATTCGGAAGGACACAACCCCGAACAGTGCTTACCACCCACGAGTCACGTGGTCACATCTCGTTCGTGGACTAATGTAGCCACAAGTGATATCTGCTGAAGCCACCTCCTCCCATTGTGATTATTTTGGGCGTTGAGACGGCAGTTTTGATTCGTCTAAACGATACAGCCAATACCAACCCGACACTGCTCCATTGGCTGCTCGTTGGAAACACGTCATGGTGAGTTTTGCAACCAGGACAATGCCGTAGACCACAGAGACAGAGGGAGATTGGGCATGATCCAATCTCTCTAAATCGATAGCGAGTCAATCAATGAACAGAACTCGTTTGTGGATGAAATGCGTCAGCTGTCATCCTGAAACGAGATTCAACATTCCGGAAGTCGCTGGAGTGCGGCGAGTGAGAGAGAAACTTATCCTCATGGATGGAATGAGAGACGACTCACGCCATTTGACCAATTTCGTCTGTCCTGGGCTTTCTCGGGAGCCAATAAGACAGATCTCACGCTGAAAGGGAGAGTTTATGACACCCGCGATCTAAATGGAATGGTGTATATTACGGATTGGTCCCAAGTAGTCATAAAAATGCGGTTTCTAAAATGCAGCATAGATTTACGTGTTGATAATGATGATGCCGCTGAATTTTGTGTGTTGGTGAATACAATAGGATTGATTTCGCGTGAAAACGCGGATCTGACATGAATTCATTCAACCAAATACATTTACTGGCGCTGGAAACAAACGACACGTGATTATAGTCCTATTCAGGCACGTGTACAATTTCCAAATGACTGACATGAAAGTGGAAGCAGGATTACGTCGAAGCGAGTTTTGTTGTTCACTACAATCTTTCGACACCAATATCCACCTTCCGGGTCGACTGAAGAGTCAGCATTGATTGGTCAGTATTCTAACATAAGACTAACTTCTACACCAAATCGGCGTTAGCAACGAGTGTTGCAACAAACATTTGCGGTCCTGCGTACCTTAAAAAAATTACTCCAGCCATTTAGTTCCTCTGAAGTGGAACATCTGAACTTAGTTGCATTTGTGCACTTCTCTACTACTGGCAAGGCTATTTTAAAAAATATCGCGAAACCACAGTTAATTTTCGGTCAGCTAATCAAAATTCGACCTTCAGTTTACGCGCCAGTTTAAATGTAGGTCTGAACAAACGAACGTGACATTCACAGAGGTGTTAGGAGAAGATACATCCACATTTTATTAACCCGAGCAAATAGGGCTATTTGCCGTTGTTCGAACCCTGTGATTGGTTTAGGACTAAATGGCCAATAAGAAATGCTTATTTAATTCATCCGATGATTTGGCCCTAAGAGGTGATCCATTTAACTAAAAAGAAATGAAATAGTCGAGGATCGTATGAGCACATCTCACATGCCCTACGTGTGTTTTTCCAGTACTTGCCAACTGGGATCCAGGAAACACTGCGTGGTGGATATTTCAACATGAGCGCTTTGTGAAGTGTCGTGCCCTAGTAAAACAAGAATGGAGGCGGGAAACGATTAATCAACAACAATTTTTGCGGATAAGCATCAGTACGGAGGCAGAGCAATAAAAAAGAAGAGGTGTTTTGTGTGACAATAATTGGATTGGTTGAGGTAAAATATGACACGACCGCCAGCCTCTAACTGGAGCATTTAAAAAATCGATATTTTTTCCTGACAAGAAACTCGTCCATTTTAAGGCAAGATAATGACCAAAATTTTATGGCAACCTGTTTGCTGCGTTAGTGTTAATGCTGATGATTGATTTGACCTCTGGCATCTAAAATAAACGACGAAATTAACACGGAATCACATCTGTGGTGAAGTAGTGAGCGCGTACTCAAGTAAACCAATGGGAAATAAGTAAGATGCGAAAACACATAATCAGTTAATTAGATAATCTCGGGAGGCAGTAATTAGATCAGCGAAAATGTAGGTAGTCAAGTAACTATTTAATCACAAAATACAATGACCTTTAATTCGATTAAAATATCAAGAATTGGATCACGTTTTTGCTTGCATTTGTGATTTCGTGAGAGTTGGATAGGTGCTTAGAGGACACCTGACATGACCTTGAACCGGCCAATGAGCAGCGACCACACCCGAAAAGTTAGTCAGACGCGGCAACATGGTGTACTTTTACCTGGAATTGACGCAAATGCCGTTTTCATGAGTTTCCACTGCCAATAAACAGATCAGTTGACTGAAGAATGCTTTCAATTTAACCGGGACGGATTTGGCAGTATTAATTTTATCAGTTATTGATATTGAAAATGCACCAATTTCACGTCAAGACACTAGTAAGTAAAAAATCGATCAAGGTGATTAGTTACATCACGTGACAGCAGTTGGACCAGCAAACACTTCTTACAATTTCCTTATTCCCTTGCCATTATTTTACAAGCGTTTTGCCTTCTAGTTCTACAAACGATTTTGTTTTGTTTTAAAATACTGGCAAAACTAGTTACTGCGCCTTGCATGACTCAGGGCACATTCGAAATTTTCATTGATTAAAAATCAGTGGGAATCAATAAGTCGTTTCGCTGTGAGAGTACAAATCGATACGTGCCAAGGTTAAATGTGGATTGACAGCGCGGAAGCAGGCAACAACACAGCATCATTTTGAATAAAAACACAGAAAAAAAATTTTTGACTCCCAACTGACTCCCACTTAGAGCACAGTTTGATGCCAGCAGCAGTAACTGAATTTAGTAAAATACTTAATCCTATTATATTAAAAACCGGTGTGCCTCAACTGCCCCCTTGTGATTTCTGATGACGATGCTGAATTGGCTAAAGATGTGGTGTTAAGTGTGTGTGTGTGTGCGCCTGAGTGCACATGCACTGATAAGTGGTGCAAATGCAAGTTCGAACTCAATCAAGTACCGCCAACTCAGAAACGTGAAAAGCGAAATTAGGCGGTCCAGTGCCACGTGTGTGTGTGTGCGCGCGCCATCTTGAAACCGACAGCCAATCAAAATTCGACATCTGGTACTGCCTTACCTAGGTTGGACAGCTGGGATCAAGTATTGACTGTCGGGGTGAGTACACAGAAGACAAGGCGGTTAAGACCTCTCCACTACCGTTATGGTGACACAGGTGTGCTCTGAGAACGAAAGACGTCAGTAACCACACGGTACTTCGGCTAGAATGTGTGAATTTCATTTAAGTGATAATTCTGGCAAGTAACATCACTCGCTGGGTGGTCCAGGGTTCAAAGATGCCGCCAATGGCGTGCTAGACCAATAAAACTACAGAGAGAGAGCGAAAAACGATAAATCATCACCGGAGTTACTACTAGGCGTCAGGATGAGGGTAGTTGGCATTAACATGTGAAACGGTACGTGGTTTGAGCACAGATAGTGTGCAGGTTAGAATTATACCAGAATTAAAGTATCCAGAGCTACCCAGCTATGATTTTTTGCTATGCTACCCAGATTTTAATGTGGCCGCGATCCAGAAGTGGCCCGATTTCAACAAACTTCAATTTTTGACTCTCGCGCTGAAAAAAAAACTAATGAGTTAACGATTGCCTCAGGCCACGAAGAACTCTGAAATCAAGCAGAGCTGCGTCCACTCAGTTGATTGGATGGACTTCATCACCACATAGCGCTTGGATAACGAATCCAATTGGCCAACCCCAAGATCAATTTCATTGGCTCTCAAGAGTGCCCAGAACAGATGCAAGTCGTCGAGTAATATTAGTCGCCTCTCGACCTATATAAGAGTATAAGTCTCTTTCTACACTCCAGCAAATATCGGAATGTTGGATCTCTTTTCAGGATGACAGCTGACGCATTTCATCCACAAACTAGTTCCGTTCATTGATTGACTCGCTATCGATTTAGAGAGATTGGATCATGCCCAATCTCCCTCTGTCTCTGTGGTCTACGGCATTGTCCTGGTTGCAAAACTCACCATGACGTGTTTCCAACGAGCAGCCAATGGAGCAGTGTCGGGTTGGTATTGGCTGTATCGTTTAGACGAATCAAAACTGCCGTCTCAACGCCCAAAATAATCACAATGGGAGGAGGTGGCTTCAGCAGATATCACTTGTGGCTACATTAGTCCACGAACGAGATGTGACCACGTGACTCGTGGGTGGTAAGCACTGTTCGGGGTTGTGTCATTCCGAATTCCGCTCTGTGTTCATGGCTCCTTGTTCGGACTCCAGCAACAATGTGGGGACGTGTTGACACCACGTGTGCTTTTACCTCTATCCTTTGACCCCTGTGTGAGTTGTCGCATGTCACGACAATTTGACAGTCTGGTAAGATGCCCAGTTCACGAGATCGGCATCATCACGTCCACTGATTCAGTGGTTCCTTCATTTGACGACATCAAATACCCCTGTCGAAGGATGCGGTGGCGGCAGACGATGTCATCTAGGGAACTGGCTGTGGAAGACGTGGCTGTTTGGAGAGTTTGTGACTCACTGCGAGTCTTCTGAGAAGAATCGAACAGCTGGAACAGACGTTGGCACTACCAGATGATTCAACTCATCTGTGAGTGAATAGTATCGTGTGAGCTTGCGTACTGCTGGCGTGTGTATTGGAGAATTGTTTGGTGGTGGTGGTGGTTCTCGACCAATGGAAATTGACTTGTTGACTGGATCGCCTTCAATGCTGTCCACAGTCACGTTTCACCAACGAAGGGCTCTCACATTTCACGCAGACATTATGACATAAATGGATTTTGAATCGACTCGTGGACTTCAAATCACCAAACCCAATTTGATCGGAAATCAATGCTGTTATCTTAATGGCTGAACGCCTAGGCTTGATATTATCCGACAATCACCACCTCCATCATTCTATCTCCGGGGAACCGTGATTGGTTTTTGTGTCCTTAAAGTGACTTCACAGCCACTGTTAAAACTCAATTCAG